TGAGAGAGGTAAGGATTCTGTGATATATATACCATTATAAATGTCTGTGAGAGAGGTAAGGATTCTGTGATTTATATACCATTATTAATGTCTGTGAGAGAGATAAGAATTCTGTGATCTATATACCATTATAAATGTCTGTGAGAGAGGTAAGGATTCTGTGATCTATATACCATTATTAATGTCTGTGAGAGGGGGAACGATTCTGTGATCTCTTTACCATTATAAATGTCTGTGAGAGAGGTAAGGATTGCGATTCTGTGATCTATATATCATTATTGATGTCTGTGAGAGAGGGAACGATTCTGTGATCTCTATACCATTATAAATGACTGTGAGAGGTAAGGATTCTGTGATCTATATACTCACTGTTAACGTTAATGTCTGTGAGAGAGGGAAGGATTCTGTGATCTCTGTACCGTTAACATTAATGTCTGTTAGAGAGGGAAGGATTCTGTGATCTATATACTCACTGTTAATGTTAATGTCTGTGAGAGAGGGAAGGATTCTGTGATCTCTATACCATTATAAATGACTGTGAGAGAGGTTACATACTCACTGTTAACGTTAATGTCTGTGAGAGAGGGAAGGATTCTGTGATCTCTATACCATTATAAATGACTGTGAGAGAGGTTAGGATTCTTTGATCTCTATACCATTATAAATGACTGTGAGAGAGGTAAGGATTCTGTGATCTCTATATATATACCATTATAAATGACTGTGAGAGAGGGAAGGATTCTATGATCTCTATACCATTATTGATGTCTGTGAGAGAGGTAAGGATTCTGTGATCTCTATACCATTATAAATGACTGTGAGAGAGGTAAGGATTCTTTGATCTCTATACCATTATTGATGTCTGTGAGAGAGGGAAGGATTCTGTGATCTCTGTACCGTTAACATTAATGTCTGTTAGAGAGGGAAGGATTCTGTGATCTATATACAATTATTAATGTCTTTGAGAGGGGGAATGATTCTGTGATCTATATACCATTATAAATGTCTGTGAGAGAGGTAAGGATCGCGATTCTGTGATCTATATATCATTATTGATGTCTGTGAGAGAGGGAACGATTCTGTGATGTATATACCGTTATAAATGACTGTGAGAGAGGTAAGGATCTTGTGATCTCTAACCATTATTGATGTCTGTGAGAGAGGGAAGGATTCTGTGGTCTATATACCGTTATAAATGACTGTGAGAGAGGTAATTAGGATTCTGTGATCTATATACTCACTGTTAACGTTAATGTCTGTGAGAGAGGTAAGGATTCTGTGATCTCTATACTGTTATTGATGTCTGTGAGAGAGGTAAGGATTCTATGATCTCTATACCATTATTAATGACTGTGAGAGAGGTAAGGATTCTGTGATCTATATACTCACTGTTATCGTTAATGTCTGTGAGAGAGGGAAGGATTCTGTGATCTCTATACTGTTATTGATGTCTGTGAGAGAGGTAAGGATTCTATGATCTCTATACCATTATTAATGACGGTGAGAGAGGTAAGGATTCTGTGATCTATATACAATTATTAATGTCTGTGAGAGAGGTAAGGCTTCTGTGATCTCTATACCATTATAAATGTCTGTGAGAGAGGGAAGGATTCTGTGATCTATATACTGTTAACATTAACATATGTGAGAGAGGGAGGGATTTGTGATCTCTATACCATTATAAATGTCTGGGAGAGAGGGAAGGATTCTGTGATCTCTATACTGTTAACATTAATGTCTGTTAGAGAGGGAAGGATTTGTGATCTCTATACCATTATAAATGTCTGTGAGAGAGGGAAGGATTCTATGATCTCTATACCATTATTAATGTCTGTGAGAGAGGTAAGGATTCTGTGATCTATATACCGTTATAAATGACTGTGAGAGAGGGAAGGATTCTGTGATCTCAATACTGTTATCGATAATGTCTGTGAGAGAGGGAAGGATTCTGTGATCTCTATGATTGATTGAATAGTGGGACTATGGGATTGGTGTTGAATGAATAGTGGGACCATGGGATTAGTGTTGAATGAATAGTGGGACTATGGGATTGGTGTTGATTGAATAGTGGGACCATGGGATTGGTGTTGATTGAATAGTAGGACTATGGGATTGGTGTTGATTGAATAGTGGTACCATGGGATTGGTGTTGAATGAATAGTGGGACCATGGGATTGGTGTTGATTGGATAGTGGGACTATGGGATTAGTGTTGATTGAATAGTGGGACTATGGGATTAGTGTAAAATGAATAGTGGGACCATGGAGTCAATAGTGGGACTATGGGATTGGTGTTAAATGAATAGTGGGACCATGGGATTGGTATTGATTGAATAGTGGGACCATTGGATGAGTGTTCATGGAATAGTGGTACCATGGGATTGGTGTTGATTGGATAGTGGTACCATGGGATTAGGGTTGATTGAATAGTGGGACTACGGGATTGGTATTGATTGAATAGTGGTCCCATGCGATTGCATGGTGTTGATCGAATAGTGGGACCATGGGATTGGTATTGATTGAATAGTGGGACCATTGGATGAGTGTTCATGGAATAGTGGTACCATGGGATTAATGTTGAATGAATAGTGGGACTATGGGATTAGTGTAAAATGAATAGTGGGACCATGGAGTCAATAGTGGGACTATGGGATTGGTGTTAAATGAATAGTGGGACCATGGAGTCAGTGTTGATTGAATAGTGGTAACATGGGATTAGTGTTAATTGAATAGTGGGACTATGGGATTGGTGTTGATTGAATAGTGGGACCATGAGATTGGTGTTGATTGGATAGTGGTACCATGGGATTAGTGTTGATTGAATAGTGGGACTATGGGATTAGTGTTGATTGAATAGTGGGACTATGGGATTGGTGTTGATTGAATAGTGGGACCATGGGATTGGTGTTGATTGAATAGTGGGACTATGGGATTGGTGTTGATTGAATAGTGGTACCATGGGATTGGTGTTGAATGAAAAGTGGGACCATGGGATTGGTGTTGATTGGATAGTGGGACTATGGGATTGGTATTGATTGAATAGTAGGGACCATGGGATTAGTGTTGATTGAATAGTGGGACTATGGGATTGGTATTGATTGAATAGTGGTACCATGGGATTGCATGGTGTTGATTGAATAGTGGTACCATGGGATTAATGTTGATTGAATAGTGGGACTATGGGATTGGAATTGATTGAATAGTGGTACCATGGGATTGCATGGGGTTGATTGAATAGTGGTACCATGGGATTAATGTTGATTGTATAGTGGGACTATGGGATTGGTGTTGATTGAATAGTGATACCATGGGATTGGTGTTGAATGAAAAGTGGGACCATGGGATTGGTGTTGTTTGGATAGTGGGACTATGGGATTGGTATTGATTGAATACTGGGACCATGGGATTAGTGTTAATTGAATAGTGGTACCATGGGATTAGTGTTGATTGAATAGTGGGACTATGGGATTGGAATTGATTGAATAGTGGTACCATGGGATTGCATGGGGTTGATTGAATAGTGGTACCATGGGATTAATGTTGATTGTATAGTGGGACTATGGGATTGGTGTTGATTGAATAGTGGTACCATGGGATTAGTGTTAATTGAATAGTGGGACTATGGGATTGGTATTGATTGAAGAGTGGTACCATGCGATTGCATGGTGTTGATTGAATAGTGGTACCATGGGATTAATGTTGATTGTATAGTGGGACTATGGGATTGGTGTTGATTGAATAGTGGGACCATGGGATTAGTGTTGATTGAATAGAGGGACTATGGGATTAGTGTTGATTGAATAGTGGGACCATGGAGTCAGTGTTGATTGAATAGTGGTACCATGGGATTGGTGTTGATTGAATAGTGGGACCATGGGATTAGTGTTGATTGAATAGTGTGACTATGGGATTAGTGTTGATTGAATAGTGGGACCATGGAGTCAGTGTTGATTGAATAGTGGGACTATGGGATTGGTGTTGATTGAATAGTGGGACTATGGGATTAGTGTTGAATGAATAGTGGGACCATGGGATCGGTGTTGATTGAATAGTGGGACTATGGGATTGGTGTTGAATGAATAGTGGGACCATGGGATTAGTGTTGATTGAATAGGGGGACTATGGGATTGGTATTGATTGAATAGTGGTACCATGCGATTGCATGGTGTTGATTGAATAGTGGTACCATGGGATTAGTGTTTATTGAATAGCGGGACTATGGGATTGGTGTTGATTGAATAGTGGGACCATGGGATTAGTGTTGATTGAATAGTGGGACTATGGGATTAGTGTTGATTGAATAGTGGGACCATGGGATTGATTTTGATTGAAAAGTGGGACCATGAGATTGATGGTGGCTAGATAGTAGGACTATAGGATTATATTGGTGATGGTGGGATGGTGGGACCATGGGTTTAGTGGTAAATGGATAATGGGACCATGGGTTTAGTGGTAAATGGACAATTGGACCATGGGTTTAGTGGTTGCTGGACAATGGGACCATGGGTTTAGTGGTTGCTGGACAATGGGACCATGGGTTTAGTGGTTGCTGGACAATGGGACCATGGGTTTAGTGGTTGCTGGACAATGGGACCATGGGTTTAGTGGTTGCTGGACAATGGGACCATGGGTTTAGTGGTTGCTGGACAATGGGACCATGGGTTTAGTGGTTGCTGGACAATGGGACCATGGGTTTAGTGGTTGCTGGACAATGGGACCATGGGTTTAGTGGTTGCTGGACAATGGGACCATGGGTTTAGTGGTTGCTGGACAATGGGACCATGGGTTTAGTGGTTGCTGGACAATGGGACCATGGGTTTAGTGGTTGCTGGACAATGGGACCATGGGTTTAGTGGTTGCTGGACAATGGGACCATGGGTTTAGTGGTTGCTGGACAATGAGACCATGGGTTTAGTGGTGGATGGAATATGGGACCATGGGTTTAGGGTAATGGCTGGATTATTGTGACTTAGCATTACAAAAAGGTTCTTTTCTACTTACCTGAACTCTTACGATATTTGAGTTTATTTGACTGACAACGGCGATAGCACTTGACTATGATGAAAATAATTAGGATCAGTAGAATACAGCCGCCAACACTTGCAGAGATGATAATAAACTGCCATGTAGCCCAAAATGACTTTATCTTCACCACTCCCACTGTTGACTGAAAATTTCCAATGATAACCTGAAAAAAAATACAACTGCTGATGAAATCCTGGTCTGTTTATTATAATATATATATCGGTTATTATAATATTTTTCTCTGGAAAATACAGTATCATAATTAGCGGATTCCACGGTATGCACTTTGGGACAGCATGACTTACAATTTGGCAAGAAAAGAAATTTCCCTGTTAGTTCATATATACAGCAAATGTAAAATTCAATCATTTCATTAAAGAACTTACTACTATATCCTTCTCAGTTATGAGTTTCTTGAAGTGTTTTAAACTGCCATCATCTATCTCTGTCTATGTCAGTCCAGATAAAACACCAGGTGTAAAGGTATACCATGTTCCATATATGTCAGTCAAGGTTATACACCTTGTGTAAAGGTATACCATGGTCCCTATATGTCAGTTCAGGTTATACACCATGTTTAAAGGTATATCATGGTCCCTATATGTCAGTCCAGGTAATATACCAGGTGTAAAGGTATATCATGGTCCCTATATGTCAGTCCAGGTTATACACCAGCTGTAAAGGTATACCATGGTCCCTATATGTCAGGTAAAGGTATACCATGGTCCCTATATGTCAGTCCAGGTTATACACCAGCTGTAAAGGTATACCATGGTCCCTATATGTCAGCTAGTCCAGGTAAAACCCCAGGTGTAAAGGTATACCATGGTCCCTAAATGTCAGTCCAGGTAATAGACCATGTGTAAAGGTATACCATGGTCCCTATATGTCAGTCTAGATAAAACACCATGTGTAAAGGTTTACCATGGTCCATATATATCAGTCCAGGTAATACACCATGTGTAGAGGTATACCATGATCCCTATATGTCAGTCCAGGTAATATACCAGGTGTAAAGGTATAGCATGGTCCCTATATGTCAGTCCAGGTTATACACCAGCTGTAAAGGTATACCATGGTCCCTATATGTCAGGTAAAGGTATACCATGGTCCCTATATGTCAGGTAAAGGTATACCATGGTCCCTATATGTCAGTCCAGGTTATACACCAGCTGTAAAGGTATACCATGGTCCATATATGTCAGTCTAGGTAATACACCTTGTGTAAAGGGATACCATGGTCCCTACATGTCAGTCCAAGTTATACACAGGGTGTAAAGGTATACCATGGTCCCTATATGTCAGGTAAAGGTATACCATGGTCCCTATATGTCAGGTAAAGGTATACCATGGTCCCTATATGTCAGCTAGTCCAGGTAAAACACCAGGTGTAAAGGTATACCATGTTCCATATATGTCAGTCAAGGTTATACACCATGTGTAAAGGCATGACATGGTCCATATATGTCAGTCCAGGTTATACACCAGGTGTAAAGCTTTATCATGGTCCCTATATGTCAGTCCAGGTAATATACCAGGTGTCAAGTTATACCATGGTCCATATATGTCAGTCCAGGTTATATACCAGGTGTAAAGGTTTAGCATGGTCCCTATATATGTCAGTCCAGGAAATAGACAGGTTGTAAAAGTATAGCATGGTCCCAATATGTCAGTCCAGGTAATACACCAGGTGTAAAGGTATACCATGGCCCTTATATGTCAGTCCAGGTAATACACTGGGTGTAAATTAAAGGTATAGCATGGTCCCTATATGCCAGTCCAGGTTATACACCAGCTGTAAAGGTATACCATGGTCCATATATGTCAGTACAGGTAATACACCAGGTGTAAAGGTATACCATGGTCCCTTTATGTCAGTCTAGATAAAACACCATGTGTAAAGGTATAGCATGGTCCCTATATGTCAGTCCAGGTAATACACCAGGTGTAAAGGTATACCATGTTCCATATATGTCAGTCAAGGTTATACACCATGTGTAAAGGTATGACATGGTCCATATATGTCAGTCCAGGTAAAACACCAGGTGTAAAGGTATACCATGCATGGTCCATATATGTCAGTACAGGTTATACACCATGTTTAAAGGTATATCATGGTCCCTATATGTCAGTCCAGGTAAAACACCAGGTGTAAAGGTATTCCATGGTCCCTATATGTCAGTCCAGGTAATACATTGGGTGTAAAGGTATACCATGGTCCCTAAACGTCAGTCCAGTTATATTAATACACCATGTGTAAAGGTATTCCATAGTCCCTATATGTCAGTCCAGGGAATACACAGGGTGTAAAGGTCTACCACGGTCCCTATATGTCAGTTCAACCATGTTCCATATATGTCAGTCCAGGTAAAACACCAGGTGGAAAGGTATACCATGGTCCCTATATGTCAATCCAGGTAATACACCCTGTGTAAAGGTATACCATGGTGCTTATATGTCAGGTCAGGTAATACACCAGGTGTAAAGGTATACCATGGTCCCTTTATGTAAGTCCAGGTAATACACCCTGTGTAAAGGTATAGCATGGTCCCTATATGTCAGTAAAGGTAATACACCAAGTGTAAAGGTATACCATGGTACCTACATGTCAGTCCAAGTTATACACAGGGTGTAAAGGTATACCATGGTCCCAATATGTCGGTCAAGGTAATACACTGGGTGTAAAGGTATACCATGGTCCCTATATGTCAGTTCAGGTAATACACTGGGAGTAAAGGTATACCATGGTCCATATATGTCAGTCCAGGTTATACACCAGCTGTAAAGGAATACCATGGTCCCTATATGTCAGTTCAGGTTATACACCAGGTGTAAAGGTATACCATGGTCTGTATGTGTCAGTCTAGGTTATACACCAGGTGTAAAGCTTTATCATGGTCCATATATATCAGCTAGTCCAGGTAATACACTGGGTGTAAAGGTATACCATGGTCCCTATGTGTCAGTCCAGGTTATACACCAGCTGTAAAGGTATACCATGGTCCATATATGTCAGTCCAGGTTATACCCCAGGTGTAAAGGTATCCCATGGTCCCTATATGTCAGTTCAGGTTATACACCAGGCGTAAAGCTTTATCATGGTCCATATATATCAGCTAGTCCAGGTAATACACCGGGTGTAAAGGTATACCATGGTCCATATATGTCAGTCCAGGTTATACACCAGCTGTAAAGGTATACCATGGTCCCTATGTCAATCCAGGTAATACACCAGATGTAAAGGTAAACCATGGTCCCTATATGTCAGCTTGTCCAGGTTATACACCAGGTGTAAAGGTATACCATGGTCCCTATATGTCAGCTAGTCGTAAAAATACACCAGGTGTAAAGCTTTATCATGGTCCCTATATGTCAGTCTAGGTAAATATATAACAGGTATAAAGGTATTCCATGGTCCCTATATGTCAGTCTAGGTAAATATATAACAGGTATAAAGGTATACCATGGTCCCTATATGTCAGCTAGTCGTGAAAATACACCAGGTGTAAAGGTATACCATGGTCCCTATATGTCAGTCCAGGTTATACTAATACAGCATGTGTAAAGGTATTCCATAGTCCCTATACGTCAGTCTAGATAAAACACCATGTGTAAAGGTTTACCATGGTCCATATATATCAGTCCAGGTAATACACCATGTGTAAAGGTATTCCATGGTCCCTATATGTCAGTCCAGGTAAATATATAACAGGTAGTAATACACCAGGTGTAAAGGTATACGATGGTCCCTATATGTCAGTCCAGGTAAATATAATATATGTCAGTCCAGGTAAAACACCAGGTGTAAAGGTATACCATGGTCCCTCAATGTCAGTCCAGGTAATACAGCATGTGTAAAGGTATTCCATAGTCCCTATATGTCAGTCTAGATAAAACACCATGTGTAAAGGTTTACCATGGTCCATATATATCAGTCCAGGTAATACACCTTGTGTAAAGGTAAACCATGTTCCATATATGTCAGTCCAGGTAATACACCATGTGTAAAGGTATACCATG